TGATGAGCCCCCCTCCACCACCTTTCTTTTCCTTCAATTCTATTCTTGTCTCGCAAGAAAACATGCTCTCGGAGTTACTGAACTGAAATCTCGGGGCTGCATAGATATATTATAGCTCTGCAAATGCCCATTTGACTAGATTGGACTGTGAGTGTAATAAGCCTGGCAACTATAGACAATTTCAGATATTCTGGAATGTTGCATGAGTGTGTCCTTAGCCGCGATCCCTTTAAAGAAACAAATATGATAATATTACAACACTGCATTACTGTGCTGACTGTTCAACACTGCATTACTGTTCTGCATTACTGTTCTGAAGATACCCAGCGCAAGCTTACATTATCACCGAGGTTTTTCAATGTAAATGTCTGAGACTAAAGACTTGCTGCCTTCCACGTTCACTGAAGTGCAGCCGCCTGAACACGCAAACAACCTAGTGGCCTTGCGTACTACAGTACATCACTATTAGATGCTGCGTAAATACAGTGAGTGCAAAGCACAGGTATGGTATAGGTGCAGAGTGATTGCCTCTTGTACACTCCGACATAGCCTTCGTCAAGGTCGCCTCGACGGTAAGGCTCTTCAAACTATTCCGCGTCTTGCTAGAAATGAAAAGAGGGATGTGGACATGAAAGGAAGAGTGAAAAGCATGTTGCAACAGCTCCCATCAATCGCAGTGTACGAGCATTACAGACGATAGTCTAGTCGAAAAACTCACAAGAATTCCAGCACAGCGTTGTAAGCCTCATTCCTCGTTAATGTACGACCATTCGAATGTAAAGAGATTCTTCATAAGAGAATAAGTTTCTGGAATTCGCTTTACAGCACGGCGATAACGGCAGAAAGCGGTGCTATAAATGATTAAGCAGTACCTCTGTAGCTACAAATAGAGTACAAATATGGCTTGATTCACATCCATGTTGGACAAAGCGACGTGTGGCGTTAGTAAGTACATTTGGCGCTTAGCTGTACTAATAAAGGTATTCTGTTGCAATTCCAATCATAGCCAGAGATTGGTGTAGAATACAAACTCTTGGTGAGCAGGTCATTTCGTTATAAGTGCTACTTTAGTCGGGTACAACTTTAGAAGGCAGGGGCATTTTCTCCTCAAAGGTGAATGCACATGAGCCTCTACCAATAGGCGTGCACTTCAGATGACTCAATGAGCCGGACGGCGGTGACCTGGCCGACAGAGAACATGCTGCCTTCGTTGTTTCCAGCTCAATGCTCACACGACCGGTCGTTGGCAGCAGTGTGATAACATAGCTGAGTGTCTAGCTGCCCGAATGAGCATTTTGAGCTCACCAACAATAATCAGGGAACAATAGTGTTTCAATTCAAATACGCCAGCATTTAAATGTGTTTCCATGCTACTTCTCACCCCGCCGCGGTGGTCTAGTGGCTAAGGTACTCGGCTGCTGACCCGCAGGTCGCGGGATCGAATCCCGGCTTCGGCGGCTGCATTTCCGATGGAGGCGGAAATGGTGTAGGTCCGTGGGCTCATATTTGGGTGCACGTTAAAGAACCCTAGGTGATTGACATTTCCGGAGCCCTCCATTACGGCGTCTCTCATGATCATACGGTGGTTTTGGGACGTTAAACCCCGCATATCAATCAATCAATCAATGCCACTTCTCAAATCCAGCATGATGTGTGAGGGACGTTGCTTATCGGCATGTGCGATCCGGCATGTGCTGTAGCATTTCTACTATTGTAGTTTTTCCAAAGCACTCGTCACGATACACAAATCTTATTTATATGAACAAGTATGCGTTTTAGAAGCAATCACAATTTCTTTAGCGGGTCTATTTCTTTTGTCGTGGAGCGAATTGGATGCTGCGCTTCAGGTCATCTGGGCGGGGCCTCTCCTGTCTGCTAAAGTTGTACCCGACTATAGTATTTTCGTGTAAAGCGGTTCAGCGTCGTCAAAACTTTCATAAAAGTCGAAGTTTTGTGGTGACGCCGCAAGAGCGTAAGCTGCCTCGTTTCTGGAGATACAACTGTACGAAAATACTTACTGAAAAATTCTTGTTCTTAGTTAGATGTAATTCTATTGTCCACCTTAAGGCATTCTTCACGCAAAGAAAGATTAGTCAGTGTTAGCACTAAGCAATGAATTAATAAGTCTATCAAATAATCATTTTGTGAACGAACCTATATTAGTTTCTTTTTAAAAGAAAGATTACGCAGCTATAAGCTTCAACACCTTGACGAGGTTTAGGTGACAACCAGTCATGCTCCATGATTACAAATAAATTACTAGTACTTCAAAGTATCGCGTAACACTGAAGCAAAGGGGCAGGTAGGCTAAACAAACAAGTGAACTTGACATGAACAGCTGAGTCGAATAATAGTATGTTGTGCCTTGTTTTTGCAATGCATTTTTAAAAAATAACCGAAATCACCAACAAGTTATGCAACAAGTCATTTTTCAACAAGGTCCGTCACCGCCTATTTTATCGCGATAACTGCAGACAGAAAACAACTGAGAATGAGAAATCTGGAACAAATTCGATGGAGGCGTTAACAAAGTTTCGACTAACGAAACTACAGCAAGTGGTATTACAAAGCTGTAGATTACCACTGCAATCTAATTCATTTTGTTTGCTAAAATATCGTACATATAGATGAAAAAATATTATTGCTGGCTTTTAGCTGACGGTAATCTCTTCATTTCAGACAGCGCTAAACCCGCAATTAAAAAAAAACGAAAAGAAAATGCTCACATTTGTTATTCGCGCGTCATTTTCCGCAACTGTGAGTCATCGAAATTTCTAGTGCAACATTAGGCTACGTTAATATTTTTCAGCTGAACATCTCTCCATTTTGTTACAAAAGGAATTGTAAGCCTACTTGATTATTTGTTTTTCTGCTCAGAGCTTCAAGAAACTGTTCAATGCCTGTGCTTGAATACTTGATTACATCAATTTAGGTGTTGGGTTCAAATTTTCTGTTTTCTTTTATCAGATGCTTTCATTCTTCTCACCCGTTGCCGCAGAGTCAATGAGACTGCGAAGGCCATAGTGCTCCATGAATGAGGAAACTTCTCACAAAGACTATAGCAGGGACTAGCCCCGGTATACTGCTTCGAAAGTACGTGTTTATTATCAAGTAATTCTTTAAAAATATCAATAGATGTCTTCCTCTTCCACTGATGGACTGTTTGAATGAGTACCAACAAGCGGGTGCATTTGCTCATCGACCCTTTACGACCCTACACCATAGTACATCGACCCTTTCAGCTCATCATGCAGGCACTCTGTATATTTTTTTCAATGGTGGGCCGACTTTAGTGAAGTACTAACAACTACGCCTCTCTAAGGCAATGCACGCCCCTTCGCAGATGTACACTCTGTTGATGATGTAACTGTCATTTATTATAGTTATGAATTAATGATGAGCCCTTTGTAATGAGCACGATGCTCTATACAACACTCGCTGGTTACGCAATTTGCTTGGTGTGGCACCTAATGCGCTTCTTCGCTTCTGCCACTACATATACGCCTGATATCATGACTCCTCGCCCGACGTGACGCCTGTATAGGATCGTTTTCCAGAACTCCTTTTAACGCTGTTGTTGTACAACCCTTGAGTGCCGTGCAGAATGACTGGGTTTGATTCAGGCTCAAACCCCATTTTTCAAGGCCCCTCCTGAGTGGTCACGTCAGATTTTGTACCTCAAGCTACGTTTCGCAAGGTTGGTGTCTCATGAGACACTTAAGGCATTCGCCTCAGTAAAAGAAGACAAGCAAAACGCAGACAGAAGAAAAACGAAAAAAAAATATTGCGTGAGAGTACAAACGGCCGAGATATTCTTGCGGAAATGCAACTCTTGAGAGCCTTTTTTAGACTAACAGTTTTTTCTTATAATTTATGCCTTTGGATAATATAAATCGGTGTCAAACTATCAAAATCAACCTATGCTTAAATCTTGCCCATATTACGATATATATGTAAACTTTTATTCTCTTTATACATTCTCTTGCGGAACCAAGTTCCCTTAGGCAACCTGTAGTTCTGTAGATCGACTTTCCGAAGGAAATGTCTCCGTGTGAGTCGGCTACTTTCGAGAGGTCTCAGAAACAGTATCAACAACAGCTCGAATATTATTAATTTTCTAGATCACTGATTGACTGGTTTGTCGATTGATTGATTGATTGATTGATTGATTAGTTGATTGATTTGAGATAGATCTGTTAACATGCTAAAAAAAGTTGACGGGAAATACAGTAGCCATTTCACCGCGTCGGGATAACCTTTGCCCCCGAACGAATCAGTCACTTTTCAGTGAGAGAGAAAGGTGCCAATTCTTAACAAAAAAAAAATTGGCCCAAATCTGCATTTTACACTGCAAATGTTGTCGAAAGACGATAGTCTTGCGTCTGGAGAGTGTGAACAAAACGTTTATTGGATGTTCTGCTCAAGAAAATTAGTGAATGGTATTCTGGAGGCGCTGCGTTAGAGAGCCTCGAGCGTGTAGCGGAGCGCATCGAGGCACGTTAGACCCGAGCACCATCTGGCAGTTATCGTCGAAAACGTAGGCGTGCGCGCCCGCGGAGAAAGATGCGCGCCTGTGTCGGAGGCGATAAGGTGTAGAACGCGAAGCGACGAGCAGGTGCCACCACCATGTCGTCGTAGCAAAGCGTTGGAAACACTTACCTTTATGAGCATCGCGTTGCACTGTCAGCGCAGCACGATAAACGCTTCAGTCCTCAGAGTTACTTGTGTGTGCCTCTTATAGTATAAAGGCAGACATACAAAACAGCGACATGTAGTTATGACGCCTCAGATATGCGCAATAATTGCTTTTTAATTTACAATCGCGCAACTATGAACACTAAATCGAGCAATATTGGTGGGTGCTGCAGATGAGGTTGGCCGTTCAGTGCCGTTTGAGGTATCGTTAAGGTCAGACAAACAGACAAATGAACAGACAGACAGACTGACCAAAATTTTTTTGTTGAAGGTCTCCGAACGACTATCGTCTTTAAAAACGGTACCTTGTCGGTGCGGACGAAGGAGACGGCCCATCGGTGGTAGGCGAAAGGGAAATCCTTGGTGGTGGCGTCCCGGTGCAGGTCTCGTGTGACGGACCGCGTCGCGATGAAGGTGAACACGCCCGTATTGGAGCGATCGTTGAGTCGGGTGAATCGGTACAGGAGCGCCATGCCGCCGTGCCAGCCACAGCCTGCACACGCAAAGGTGGCGTCACACGTGATCGTCAAAACGGACCATGGCTAGGGTTGGCACAGGACACCGTAAATCATGCCAGGGCGTGAAACAAAATTCGAATAAAGAAAGAGCAAGAACAAGAAGTGCTCATACCAAAATACGAATGGTCAACCAACCACACATAAACCGGGCACCGTTTCCCAACAGACCGTGAACTATAGTATACGCACAAGTAGTTTTTGGGAGCGTGGGAGAACCATGACGCAACGTTTCGGTACACACACAATGCAGTGCTCACGTATAGGGCGTGGTGCAGGCTTACGACGGCCGAGGTGAGGTAAGCTTCGCGGGACTCAATTGCTCCCACACGAACGAGTAAATCACAGGAGCTATCTACAGACGACACCGCACAGAAAATGGTTGAATCTGGTCGTTAAAACTTTCGCCGCCTCGCACACATCTGCGTGTCATATCCTAGCTTGATTGATTGATTGATATGTGGGGTTTAACGTCCCAAAACCACCATATGATTATGAGAGACGTCGTAGTGGATGGTTCTGGAAAGTTCTACCACCTGGAGTTCTTTAACGTGCACCCATATCTGAGCACACTGACCAATATTTCCGCCTCCATCGGAAATGCAGCCGCCGCAGCCGGGATTCGATCCCGCGACCTGCAGGTCAGCAGCCGAGTACCTTAGCCACTAGACCACCATGGCGGGGCCATATCCTAGCTTCGAGACATAAGTATCAGTGACGGCAGCCCGTGTGCAGACATCTGTACTGCCAGGGGGAGACGTAAGCTGTTCGTCTCGTAGTGATCGATAGATATTCTATTCAGTATACAAAATAACTGTGGTTCCTTAGTACACGCTGCGACAGTCTCACTGTATACTATCTCCAGCTCCAGAACGTAGTATACATGCATTTGATGCACAGATATATGACACTGAATGGACCGCAGCTTGTAGTACTGAACTGAAGCACCGCGTGCGAACTTTCAGGAAGCCGATTTGAGGTGCCGCACTTTTGTCTGCATTTTAAAGCAAACATTAACCACTTTCGCTGAGCCGAAGTTGTGTAACCCTAAAACTGCGTTAAAGCATCACTTTCGTATATACCAAAGCATTGCTCTGAGGCAGCAGAAAAGTTATGACAAGGCTGAAATTGTTTAATGACCAAAACACCACTTTAATGCAGCCAAGGAAACTAAAGGTGTGATACTACAATAAAATTCTACGACGGCACATGTTATGAGGTGGAGTACTTTCTCGACGTTTTAAATTAGACCTTTTCAAAATTTAGTCGCTCTTTCGAACTATACTTTTAAAAACTCTCTGTTAAGTTAACAGAGTACATTTTAGCGCTGTTCAAAGAAAGTGAGAAAAGACATTTTTTCACAGTATTTGAGATGAATTGCACAAACTTTTTGTGCAGTAGTTACATATGATTACACTGCAGTAATACTTAGGTTCCAGAAAATTTTAGACAGTTTAGAAAGGGCAGCCTTGGAAGTAGTTTGAAGTAAGCGCAACCTCAGGCTCGTGCATGCGTGAGAAAGAGACATACTTCAAAAGAGTTATGGTACTCTGCACATGAAAAGCAGTATTCCACGCACAAATAAACACCGATTTGTGTATACGCAAAGACAAATACATGCATACGCATACATACAGCTCTCCCACCTTGTGCACACAAGCAACGTTACTCGTGCCCAAACAGCTTAGCCCTAAAATAAGAACCACGCAGCCGGTTGAGACCGTATAAGAGTCTGACTTGTAAGGCGTTGACGCCTGTAACTGTCGTACTGCGGGCAGTCATTCGAGGCCCCAAGCGTCTGACCGTGTCAACAAGCGAGCTGTCCTCATATTTTCAGGGTGGTATGTCGTCGGGCTTCCAAGAAAAACGTGGCCGTTTTTCCGAAACGACTGTTCCCTTCTCACATTACACAACCTTCACTTGAAGTACTTTCAGTGTTTGCGCTTGTTCTTCGCATCTGCCGCACTTCACGTCACCGCCCAGTGAGACGTTCTCCGTCGCACTCAGGGACGCTGTTTGCCTGCTGTCGGCCCTTTCGTTGTCCTTTAGCGAGCCAAAGGCGGCAGCAGCGGCGGTGTAAAGCACCGCCATTGCAGCGTCAAATTGCTTCGCGTGTCTCCGGTGCTTTGTTTATAGTCTGGGCATGCAGCCTTGTTTGACACCACATAATGAAGACATGTTTTTCTCAATCTCCCTTCCTATTGCAGCGCTCTCTTCTCGGGGGAAATAAATGCGCTCTGCCTGCGCGCGCTCACATGCAGTCCCCAACGACAATTCGCGCTCGGGGCCTGCACCGCAGAGCTATGCGCCCGACGAAGCGGCTAGGGCGCATTTCTCACTACATGCTTTCAAGCTTTCACAGATTATATATAGCACCTGCGTCACGTTCTTGGAAGTTATATTCCTTCTGTGACACAATGAGAATCCTGCGCTATAGCTGAGCGTAGTTTCTTAGTCTTGACGTCATTTTCCGATGAAATAGCCACGCGAGCGCAAACACAGTAGGCGAATGTTTCCGATACTATTGGGGACAAGCAGCAACCCTTCACCGCAAATTAGTAACGAGAACAGTACTACAGGCTGCACGGCTCGATAATTATAAAAATGACGGATTTCATAACCTCTTCTGTGGGCGTTATGATACCCGCTATTTATGCACCCCTGAAGCACTCTATAGCACCAACGACATGCAGTAGTACCAAAAAAAAAAAAGGAATTTTCTATGCAAAAGTAAGATAATTGTTTTTTAGCCGCTTTAATAGCTGAGTGGTTATGGCGCCACTCCTGCCAATGTTTACGCTTCAGGGGCTTCAGGAGCTATCCCGGCTTTGGAGCACGGTATAGACTAAATCCACCGAACTTGCGTCACGAAAATGTGGTGGCGCTGTCTTGGTATAGGCAAAAGACGCTCTGCCTACCGCAGTTTCTGCTGCGTTTTCAATGGTGCATGTGGTGTTTTCAGTCAAGCAACGAGAAGAAAAAAAAAAACAGTATGCCGACGAGCTGCGTCGTGGTTGGATGTGAGTCGCGTCTCACAACTTAGTGTTGTTTGTTGGCGCACATCGCAGCTCTCAGCACTTATGGCGGAAGTTACATTTGGACGTCGCTATAATTTTACCCACAATATCGACATCGGCCTACCTGTGTTTACAAACAAGTAATGGGTCTCTGGCATTTGCGTTATTTCAGTGGAGCAAATAGAATAGAATATATTCTTCTTATCAGAATTAAGCTCAACTTCTTCATCTAGGCCATTGCGCACCTTAAGTGCACCGTCCATGAACAAAAATGATCAAACGTCAAGCGAGATGAAAACTGAGGAACCAGTTAAGCGCTAAGTGCACTGTAAGTGTCTATGTCGTTTTGGTCAGAAGAAATTCGCGGAGCATGGCCATCAGTTAAATTGTATCTTGCTCACTTAGATTTAGCTATGTGCATAATATGACTATAGCGTTTTTATTCGAAACACGCTTTTCAGTCGAACTTACAAACAGCAATTCACCAAGTTTTATTTCAACGGTTTCTTTGTTTGACTGGAAATCAACCTCACTCTCTTTCTCGACACCGTTAATCTAGCCCAGTCATTGTTTCTTAATCTTGCTTGTAGTGAAAAAAAAAGATGAAAATTCCTCAGCTATATACATATTTTGCTTTGACATGAAATAAATGCGCCTATCACTCATACTTATTGAGATAGATAATGTTTTTACTACAGTGCCCAGCATGTAAGGTTGAGCAACACTGCCCACGAAGACGCACACTGGCCACGTGCTTGCAACACATGTGAACAAATGCGTGAAAGTACGGGCGCATGCTCTCAGAGGTGATTTCAATATATTTCAGTCGGCGTTGCTGATCTACTAGGTCATGCAGTAAGTACAGCTGGACGAGCTCCATAAAAGCAATATTCACATTCTGATAGAATAAGGTGGGCTATAAAAAATAAATACGCCTCTGTCTGGCCGAAGAACACGCAAGTCTACAGTTCTTATACCACGAGAGAGGCGTATATTTCGTGGTTTCTCTCCTTTTTCCTTGGTTGACCTGTTTTGCTGAGTGATGTTTCCGCTTCGGCGACGTGACGGCGAGAGTACAAGCAGCGTCAGAGCGGGGCTTCGACATTTTATTCGGGAGTTTATCTCGCAGAGGAGAAACATGCTCAATGCCTGATTGCAAAGCGCGTGGTAAATAACCAATATGAAGCGTAACAATCTGCCTGATTGCTCGCGATGCATATTTACGGTTCCAATCGCGTTCTATTTCACGACCGTTACCATGCTAGATGAAAGCGTGAGGGGTTGGCGAAGAAATGCTGACACTTTTAAATGAAGAAAGTATAGTTTTAAAAAAAGCTACCATTATGTTTAAAACTGCGTAATAACTTTTGCCAAGCGGCCCATGAGCCATAATAATGTAGCCTCAACCAAAAAGTTTCTGGGAACGGGAGCTTCAAAAGTTACAAACTAGACATGTTATTGAACACAGTCGTGTAACACCCACCCCCCCTTCCCATCTTCACTTTCGATAAGTTTTCGTGTAACTCTAAATGTATACGATTACCTTTTTATTCTTTTATTTTTCAATCTTGTTATTAGACCCTGATCATCTTGTGAACGTTCTTGCTACCCAACTCCACAATGATCACTAATCTGCTATAACAGCAAATTACCTCCAGAGTTTTTGCTTGTTAGCGGTGAGTACCGTGCTCTCAAGGCTAAGTGATCGGAGAAAAGTTCCGACATCTACAACTTTTTTTTCTAGGGGCTTAAAAGTAACCTAAGTCATGAAACAAAAATTGAGACTTGAAGCCTGTAGCCGATTCTGTTCAAAAGAACGTTTGCCCATGTGGAAATCTTGGCTCCAGACTGATGGTTCTCTTTTTTACTCTATCTTATTCACTCTAAAAAATTTGTGTTCTACCTTATGCTACTTATTTATTATTGTAGAGAGAGTATACT